AACAAGGCCATTTGTCTTGATTTCCCGGGTGTCCCCCAGCCAGGGCCCTTGCCCGCCCGAGCCACCCACAGGGCTCACGTTCTGTAGCTGGTCAAAGGCATACTCAAAGCCGGCCTTGTAGCCCGTGGTGCCCTTGGCCACCATGCCCTGCACCGCATCCTTGAACACCTTCTTGTTCCGCACGTTGGCCTGCACCAGGTGCGTGAAGCACGACACAGGCTGTGCCTTCTCGTTGAACTGCGGGGACAGCGAGGATGGTGGTCACACGGGCCGGGTGGGGGTGACCCGTTCCTGGCCTGCCTGCCCGCCCTGGGACTCACCGAGGCCACGTTCACATAGTCGTCGTCAGAGAGCGTGTCCAGCATCTCGCAGACGGACGTCTTCATCAGCTTCAGGGTCAGGCCACTCACGCTGCCACTCCTAGGGAGGTCACAGAGGCGCCAGGTGGGCCTCAGGTGTTCTCCTGCCATCCCCCCAGTACGTTCCTGGGCAGAGCTGGGCCTCAGGTGTTCTCCTGCCACTCCCGCAGGATGTTCTGGGGCAGCAGATTCTAGCCCCTGCCCTGCCCGCCCCCGCCTGCCAGCACTGCTCACTCACACATCCACAATGATGACCATATCCTTGGGCGATGAGGCTCCCTGGATATACCTGCCCAGGAGAAGCTTCAGTTAGGGCCAGCCTCACCGGGACTGTGCGGGTCCTTCCACCCACATACCGATTCAATATATTTCCACTGAGCAGCCACACAGGGCTCTGGGCACTGAGGATATTGCGTTTAATAAAAGCGTCCTTGCCCGTGACACGAGTGACCTGGTCCCCTAGCCCGTGAACGACCCTAAGGAGGAGTAAGCAGGTAATCCAGAGAGGGGACTGGAGGCATGGCCCCTGGTCTCAGTGGCCTGCTCTGGTCCCTAGCCCAGGCTGAGGTCCCAAGGGCAGAGTCCTAGCTGTGTACAGGACTGAACAGGTGGCAGGGAGGGAGAAGGTCGTGGGCTACCGCAGGCGAGGGAGAGCGGAGGGAGGCTCAGAGGGGTGGGGTGGGGGCTGGCCAACTCCACAGAGGACACATCCACCCTTGGGAACCTCCAGTGGCCCCATCGCTCAGTCCCGAGGGGGTGGAGTGCCAGGCAGTGAACGGGGGCAGAGGCAGCTGGGAGGCCTGCCTGGGTGATGGGATCCATTTTCCAGTGGCAACGATGTGTGAAATGAAAATTGGATAGAGCTGGCTGCGCCCTGCTCGGAGGCCTGGATATCGGGAGGGAGGGGAGCGGGTGGGAGAGGTGGGGAGCTGAGGGGGTGCCCCTGCCCAGCCCCTCCTTGCTCGCTCACCAGGGTCTCCTTCGGACATCGTACAGGTCGATTTTCTTGGGGGCTCGCCATGGGGTGGCTGTGGGGAAAAAGGAGGTGCATGGGTCCCACGGGGAAGGGCTCGGCCCCGCGTAGCAGGCGTTGAGGGAGTGACCAGGCCAACCTGCAGCCTATGGGCTGAGTGGACGGGCGGGGCGGGGCAGGCTGGCACCCACCTGGGTAGTAGCGAGTGACGCCTGTGGCGCTGCCGAAGACCTGCCAGAGCAGCGTGGGGTCCTGCCTGCGGTTCTCGGTGAACACGTTCTCCAGGGCCTCTGTCCAGTTGAGCTCATTGAGGATGACGGTGGCTGTGGGGGAAGCGGGGGCGCTGGGGTGGGAAGCACCTGGGCTGACCCCTGCTGAACCTCACCTCGACGACACTCATGCACGTGACCCCCACTTAGGAAGCCTCGCCTGCCCTCTGCCTACCCAGGCTCTCCCCCATTCTCCCCCAGGCTCAGCTGGGGCTGCACCAGCTCCTCCAGGAAGACTTCTGGGTCCTCACCCCCTCCCAAGTCATCGAAGACACAGCTCAGCCTACCCTGCAGCCAGGCCCTACATGATCAGGGAGGGCAGCTGTGACCTGTGGCCCTGCAGAGGGGCCACCCAGGCGGCAGGGAGTTGTATGTTGGGATGCCGATCCAGCATGTTGCCGGAGCTGGCGCGGGTCCCCTGGGAGCTCACCCACTCAGCATGCACTCCGGGCTGCAGCCACAAGAAAGCAATTAAGGGCTCGATGATGGGGCTGGAATTATTCAGCTATTAAGGTACCTGATAAGCTGGAAGCCTCTCAGCTCCACGATTAATCAACTGGGGCCGGGAGCAGGCGGGGCGGGGTTCTTGGAGGGACAGGGTCTGTGCCATGATCCTGCTCCAACCCAGACAGGCATGTACGAGCAGGCCGCACACACACGCACGCACGCATGCACGCACACACAGCCTGCACTCCCCAACAGTGTACCCGCATCTAACCTCTGTGATTCCAGCCAGGTGTGTGATCCCCTCGCCCCTGAACCTACCTGCCCAGCCGCTCGACTGCTGCCATGGGCACAAGGACTCACACATTGAGACCTGCACACCCTCTGTACCTACAGGACACCAACAGGTCCTGTTCTCACAGCCAGTCACCCCACCCACCCTTTCCCCCAGCCTCCCTGGCTGCACATGGCCAGACCCACCCCTGTGCACACTCGCAGAGCAAGGCTTCTCTCAGATGAATGGACTCCAGCCTGCAGAGCCCTTCATCTGGGCAGGGACTCAGATGGCCAGAGCAGTGCCCCTGAGCCCTAACTCGGGACAGCCCTAAGTCTGCCAATGTGTGCGTGGTACATGTTCTCGCAGGTGCGGTGTACCCGTCTCTGCCTGAGGGACTCAAAAAACCCCAGCAGGCGTTGGGCACCTGCTATTGCCAGGTATCTGTCCTCACCTCTCCCCTAGGGGCAGTCTCTTCTACCTCCTTTTTTCCCAGGTGGGGCCCTGACACCATCAATCCCCCACCCCACAGTCTCCATCAAAGACCCACTGCAAGTGAAAACCAGAGCACAGCCTCTGGACGTGGACACCTTCCAGCAGGTGAAGAGCTGGGAGTTAAAGACACACCTGCTCCTGGCTCTGCCACAGCGGGGGCACCGACACATTCCTGGGCACCCTTCCCTCTCAGCGGGGCCTCTGCCGTTTCTGGTCTGCTGCCCAATCCCTCCCCCTCTGCTCTCCCTCCCCCCTCTCTGGCCCTGCAGTTTCCCGTAACTGACCTTAATGTGAAAACAGAACACATTTCTAGCATTGGCTGTGCCTATTGAACACTATGTTATGGTCCTGTTCCTAATTTAGAAACTTAGTGAGTTGAACAATTTCTATTTTTCTCTTTAAGGAAAAAAAAATCAAGCCAGGCTCTCAAATGCTTCACACAGTCCTGTCTGTCCAGCACCCACTTGCCTGGCAAGCCCCACCCATCGCCTGGCCTCAGGTTCCTCATCTTCACAATGAGAGGCTTAGAGCAGATTGTCCTGGAAGCTCATCTCGCTCCTGGCAGAGGGGTGGTCCTGACTCAGGTCTAGAGCCAAGAGAAGACCCCTGGCTGGGCTGGGCTATCTGTGTCGGTGTCCCGACCACACACACACACACACACCCCACTACCAGACACACTTCTGCAAGCACGCCAGCCTCCTGACTGGGAAGGGCCCACGCACAAACACCCGCACCCACTCGCACCCACGTGCACACTCTCAGATCACGCTGCGTTGGGAAATGGGGACCATGCCCCCTCAGGCAGGCGATTACAGATTTAATTAAAAGTGACACAGTAAATAAAAAACATATAAAATGTAATTTGTGTGGGTAGCGAGGGGTGACTGGGGAGGGCGGGTGGCTCCTGTTTTAATTAGGGTGCCTGCCTGTGATAGTGCTCCTCCACTGGCTCAGGCAGGTGGCCTGTGGAGGGGCAGGAACAGCACCCCCCTTCACCAC